TTATGCATGTCCTATTTGTATTTAATTTATTGAATTTCTTATATATATATATATATATATATATATATATATATATATATATATATATATATATATATATATATATATATATATATATATATATATATATATATATATATATATATATATTGTTCTAGGGTTTTGTACATCCCAATTTGTTAAGAAATACTCCTTGAGCCAGGCTGTCTTAGAGTTTATTTGTTGCAAGAAATCCTTGCCAGGGATCAGTGTTGTCCTATGTATGCTATCTTTGTGTGATATTTGTCTTATATAATGTATTGATTATGTGTGCGGACTGGCTAAAGGTCAAATTCGTAGATTTATTTTTTGCTTTTAATGGTTTCATAATATTTTACTTTGTGCTATAAGAAGAAAGAAGACTTTAATAGATGAGAAAATTTTAGAAAAGAATTTTGGAAAAATGTGGTTATTGTGCTAGTTGTGTGTTTGTGTTATACGAGACGTATAAACATTACGTTGTATATATTGTTTCGTTGTTTTTTTTTTCTTTTGTTATGTTCTTTTGGCCTTGCACCGTTTGGATCTCCCCGTTTAGGAAGGACACTTATCTCTGTTTTTGTGTATATGTTACTACTATTGAAGTGAATAGCAAAAGATCTCACAGGTATAAATTAGATTGATTTCAATTACTATCTATTCAAATATTTTGTTATTAAAATCCATTTTTGTTTTCATAATCATATTGATGTAAGAAATTAAATAATTGTAAATTCTCATATCATTGATGCTATTAGTATATAGTAGTTGGTTTTTTTGTATTTAATCTTAATTTTATTTTTAAATTTGTGTCTCTGATTTAGTTTAAGAACAAGAAAGTATTAAATGACTTTAGGATCCGTCATATTTCACGAAGCAATTTTCATCGACTTACTGCGCACAGATGCTAGCAAACTTATATAAGGAATGTGACTTCACAGGTAGTTAGTTCTCTTCGGATTGGAAGACAGACTCCGCGATGTGACTGAATTTTGTAACGCCTGTTGCGATTGGTGAACAATTTCAATCCGCTTCGATCCTATCCTCCAGTATAAATAAACGCAGTTCACTTCATTCCCTTCACATGTTCTAGTCACAAAGATGTGGACAGACGTTGAATCCTCTACTCTTGCATGGTCGATGCTGTTTCATAGGGACTTACCCTTGTATGTGAAAACTACATGGACCATCATCAGGATCAAATGTTTGGAAAAGAAGATGCTATGTGTATAAAGATAGTCATCATCGACAGCCCAGAAGTGAGACACAGTTTGAGACAAGTTTTGAAGAATTTGAGGAAAATAAGAAGCGATGCCATCTATGTTAACGAAATAGTGTTACTGTATCAAACAAATGTCCTCTTCAGGGTCACTTCATATCACTCAAAAAATACTAATTGTTTCTTTGCCTATATGTGTTATCTATGTTTATCTCTGTCTCTGTCTCTCTATTGTATTTGTCTCTACTTAGAGTGGTAGCTGCGTGTATTTAGGTCAGCCACTTGTAATAATGTTGCAAGTGTCCAGTACCGTTTCGTCACCTTATTTTTACCATTATTTTTGTCGCTATACAGACCCAACGCTTGTTAGTCGCTATGCAAAATAATCATTGTCGCTACAGTGCCTCAGGATGATTTTTTTATGCCAAAGAGAGGCAGGCTGATTTTTAGTAACACTCTTTGTCGCTAAAGTGCCTTCATACATTACTAAAATTTACCTTCCTCCCACACTAAACACAATATTTGTAGACTATAAACATTTACCTCCAGCCCACACTGAACACAATATTTCTAGTCAATAAACATTTACCTCCAGCCCACACTGAAGCGAACATTTGTAGACTATAAGCATTTACACACACACACACACACACAAACACACACACACATCCCACACACACCCCAAAGACACACACACATTGAAGCCAACATTTGTTGCCTATAAGCATTCTACCTCCAGCCCACAACTGAAGACAACAGATTAACAACATTTAAATAACAACTAAAACTTTCAGGAAAGACAACTGAGCTCCAGGCATACAACGTGGACATTGCTGCAATGAGCGAGACGCGGCCTGCAGGAGAAGGTGAGATATGTGAAAGGGGCTCAGGATCCATTTTCTTTTGGAGCGGCCGAGGAAGAGAAAAAACGCCGTGAGGCTGGTGTCGGCTTTGCAGTGAAGACAACACTAATTGGCAAACTAGCTGGACCGCCAAAGGGAGAATACGATAGACTTATGACCATAAAACTCCCCCTCTTGCCTGGAAGAAAAACATCTTATCATCATCAGCTGTTACGCTCCAACCATGACCAAACCAGATGAAGTGAAGGCCAAGTTCTATCAGGATCTTCACTCCGTTATTTCTGATGTTCCGTTGGCAGATACGCTCGTCATTTTTGGCGACTTCAACGCAAGAGTTGGCTGTGATCACGTTTCCTGGGATTGGGTGCTAAGAAAACACGGAGTTGGCCACTGTAACAGC